GTACGATATACGCTGCGTCAATTACTGCCGTCAGGCCTCCTACTCAGAAGCACATCCAGAAAGGGAAGTGAACCGGGCTGTTTTTCTTCCAGAGTGAATTTTATTGATTGGTGCGCCTGATTTATTTCATCCAGTAGAATAGAGATGTCAATTTGTTCCGGTGCATTTGCGAATATATCATCCACGTACCTTCCATAGTATCTTAAGCGGTTGATTTGATGACGTGGCTGGAAAGCTCCTAACTTTTCCATGAATATATTTGCCAACAGCGGGCCAAGGGGCGAGCCCATAGCCACACCGTCCACCTGCCTATATAGATTGTCGAATAGGAACTTCACGTTCAAGGTACACCTCAATAACATCTCCTTGAAGGCATTCACTGGTATTCCTATATCCTGTTGATTGTCGGCAATGGAATCACAAATGTAGTTGACCGTTTCCGTTACCGGTACGTTCGTAAAAAGAAATGAGATGTCCAACGAAAACATGACCGTTTCGTGCATGTCGAGGTCTTTCACGCCGTTAATGAATTCAAACGTATCTCGATAGCTATGTGGCGCTAGTTGATACTGCGGAGGCTGAAGTTTCTTCGCCAGCCATTTAACTACTGCATGGTACGGCGAGTTCCTCATATCGAGGATTGGACGAACCGGTGCGCCACCTTTGTGGATCTTCGACAAGCCGTATAATCGAGGTATATGCGTACCGATGGGCCGGAGGCTCTCTACGTCAACACAGAGGCGGCTGCATTCAGGCTACGCGGACCGGTCCTATGCACACAGAAGAACTTCATACAGGTCCCACAGTTGCCATGGGTCAAAGCCACCAAGCCAGCTACTCACATGTAATTACCTTCGCCGGGACCCACCTTCTCTCTGACGCTGACTGGACTTGTGGTGTTTCACTCTCCCCCTCCCCAAACCCGAACTACAGCCTAATTATCTACTGCCCGTATCTTTTCCATTACCTCAGTAACAATATAAACGTACGGGCCTGAAGAGAATTTATCGAAAGCAGACGTATGCTCGCCAAATTGTCTTTTGAATAGATTGTGTTTGAAATTTGTTTGACGGGACCGTACTCTTCTATTTAACAGTCTTATATCGCCTGTTGAACTGAAGAGTGGTTCCATCCCAAGATGCAATTAAAACCAACATACACACCCATCTCAACTGTATTAGTTTTTCAGTTTCTCGTCCTCGGTTATGTAGTTGTATTTCCTAGAGTTCGTTTTGCTGAAAAATTCGCAATTGCGATGTTCAGTAGTTACGCTGTTTCACCGAATAAAATTACGAGCGTGTGGCCTTTTAAATTCGCCATTTTAAAACGTATTCTTGCGTGTAAGTATAGCCATTTCTTTTTGCTTACAACATGTGTTATCCTCATGGCTCTTTTGCGACATTTTCTGAACCATCTACATTCCTAGTTAAACTCGTTCCAAAGTTTTTCGACCTTTCTAGCCTACGTACTTTGATATGATATGGTCATAATATGTACGATGTTTGCCTTCCAATTTTGACTGTCGAAAACGAAAGGAAAAGTACTAGTCAAACGATTATTTTGAATTGACTTTTCGCTGGTGCGTCAAGTTACAAGTCACTATATACTGCCAGTATGAAACTCCGATATTCGCAAAAAATTGGCATCCACAGATAACATACATCGATAATTGCTCTGAGAAGCAGCAACGTCTTGTAGACCAACCGCGCCAGGTGGTGAGGGTTGCCATTGGCTCGATTCCCTGTGCTATTGGGCACATAACTAAGTGGGAACTGATGAACTATTAGATAGGGTAACTGAATACCACCTTCGCAATAATCTTGAAGTGGTCTGCTGCGAGATCGGTCGTCCTTATTGAGCAGTTTTGTGACTCTGTCACAAACGCTTGTCATAATTGGCGTTCGGAGGATAATTATTTAGCAATCATGGTGAAGAACTTTCGGATTTTCTTATTATTTTGCGCACACAACCCAGGCAAAAAACCGTTTGTCGAATTCAGTTTGCTGCGGCACTCTGCCCACAGACACGTTTGAAGTCAAAGAAAACTCATGTGAGTAACATTGACCTATTACTTTTCTTCGATAGCACCTTGTCCATGAAGAATGCGAAACTGTCCGCCAATATAACCTGGTGGTCCTCACTCGCGTCGCGTGTCTTCCGACTATACATTTAGTTTGTAGCGCTTTTTGTTTTGTAGCGTCGATAGGTTAGGCGATTGCTCGTACTTCCTTGTGCACTCAAAACATCATACCGTGATTATAGTAGGCTGAGGTCGCCGGTACAGTCGAATTCTGTCAGCCATCACCCAAATACGAGTTCGATCCCACCGAAAACCCCCATAGTTCATTCGAAAATCTATCCAATGACTTAGTCAAGCGAGATAGGGGACAAGGTGCATCCGTAACTATGGTGGAATTCTAGGACAAGAGAGCATGGATATTTGGCCAGCGCATCAACATCATCCTCCATTTTGGGTTCGATTGTTCCATAATTACTTACTGCACGATGGAAATGTCTTAGAACTAACGTTGGCCGAGTTCCTCTACTGTAACTTCGCTGCGACCTATGTAAAAATTATTCAGTCGGTCAAGGGAATATGGATCTTCGTATTACATGTAGTCTTGTCCTAAATTCCAGGGAGATTAAAGTCAGGCCTAGCGTTAGCGTGAACCTTTGGAATAGGAGAGGCAGGATTGTGGTTAGGGTTAAAGTTAAGACACGTGAATAGGAACCCACTGGAATTTACCGGGAGGCCTCCTGTAGTACTGGTATGGTTCATATCCTAATGTCCGGCCAATTGTTGCACGTCATCTTATTTACTTCCCCAAAGACAGGAAAGTCCTCTGGCATTAATGTGTGGTAACTTCCGAATTGTACGTATTGCGCTTGTCTTCCCAGCCTTGAATCGGGTTGTTTATTTCAAGAGATCCATCATGAAGGTGACGGATTATTTTGTCGGCCTCTGGATTGTCATCGGCTTTTTAGACCTATTTTAAGGAAGTTGCCTCTGTCGCTCAATATTTTTGATGAGATTCTTCAACCACCTTCCCCGAATTTTGTTCTCTTTGCCTGATCTCTCTCGAGTGGCCTGAGCGGACCGCTGCGGGCTTCTTTGCGACGTCACCAGGCGAGTCTGTTCTCGGTTGTTTCTCAGGCTGAGGACTTCTGTTGTAACCATTCTCATTCGATTTGGACTGCAGAGAAAGACCACTGTTATTTTTGGAAGTTTACTGTTTTAAGTCATCTGGTGGGACGCCTTTTGGACGTCAACGCAAGTTGACCCTTCAGGCTGATGGGGATCACAACAGTGTCTGACCAGAAAGCTCTGCCGACTTCGGTGCGACGCACCCAGCCAGAGAACGTTGCGCTGACAGGAATGTGGTTAATCTGGCTGGGTTTAAGACCAGCACAAGTTATACGGTTACGGTGTGCTTCAGACGATACTATGAGCACCTGCTGCCTGAAACCACTTGGCTCTGGCGGGCGAAGTTCATCGGTATTTCGGCACTTGCATCGAGAATCAAAGCCAAAGCGGCCATTGGAGTATCTTATAGAGGCGTTATCCAGATCATCCCGAACATTCAAGTCGCCAACGATCAGCAGATCACGCATGTGGAGTTTTTTTCAATCAGCTCTTGTATCTATCGAAAGAAGATTTACTTGCCGCGATATGCAGCGGTCGATGTTCGAGCGCAGACGGAAACGACAGAAGGATCAGTAAAGTGCCTTTTCGGGTGCACTTAAGTCGGCTGGCTGTTAATTTGTTGTCACTGTAATAATACTCTGATCATCTGTATCGCGATGGCGGTCTCCATTGCCTTGTCCATCAGAGGAGTCTGATGAACTGTTCTTACAGAGAGTGACTGAGTTCATCTCCAGGAGCCTGAGTCGGGGATTCGAACCTCACCCGGGCCTCAGGCATCTACGATGTACCGGTAAAGAGCGTGTTTTGTCAGGCTTTGGACATCGAAATCAAGGAACGTTGGCGCAGTCTGGTATCTCATGCTGAGAGTATAACGTAGTATTATTATAGCGTGTATTAAAGGATGCCCCTTTGCCAAAATTTGGTCAATTTTATGCTTTCATATCCGCACCCATGACGGAACATTTGTCACACCTTTTAAAGTAAAACGCAAAAGAAAAACAAGAAATAGTGTGACGTCATATCTGTCACGAAATGTACACCTTTATATACTTCATTTTAATCCTTCGTGGCTCCAGCGTTTGTTGCTCTTTGATAATCCTCCAGTGCGTGCTTTCGAGTGGTATCTTGGAAAACATGCTGGGCATTTATTTCCAAATTTGAATCCAAACAACCTTCAGACGCTTTATTCTTGAGCAGAAACGGCCGGATTTACTTTTTTGTCTTAGTCCCACATGCCCAACCGATCGCGCCTTCCACGGAAGGATGTGTGTCCAGCTGGTCCTCAAGTGAGAGATGTTGTTGTCTTCCAAAAACATAATTGCGCAGTCCTGTTATGGTTTTTAATAGGTGTTCTCTCAGCATTCGGGAGTATTCTTTACCAATGTAGACTCTTGGGTCCACCTTTAATATATCGCTTCCGTCCCCCGTCCCCTTTCCTCCACGCGCAGCCATCTTCCTCCACCTTTTACACTGAGATAAGTGAATTTAATGGTAGACTTTTCGCCCGTTATTTCCCAGGCTTTCATTCATCTGCCCCACAGTCCCAATATGAACTGGTCTTTGTCGACCTAGATTGCCTGACTATTGTGCAATACGCCATGGTTAACGGTGCATTGACCATTCATGTTTTCGTTTTATATAGGCAGAATTTCGTAAAGACGCACGTCTTCGATGCCTGTCGCCAGGACTGAAGTTATTTAACCATCGATCACGCGTGCGCAGCAGTACTGAAAACTGGGAGTCTTTGTATTTTTGGAGCGGGCGTGAATGAGTTACTTCTCTTCACTCTCAGCAACATACCTTCCCTGCTGGATTTCTTCTTTGGCCAGCCATGTCTACGAGCTCCCTCAAAGACATGAGCCTTCTCGCAACAAACAAACCGCTTGTGGGCAATCGAGAACATGAACAATTCATTCTTCCACATCTCAATGGCCCGCCAAGTACGCCTTTCCTTCCATTTGCCATTGTTGACCTGCCGTAGTTCAACAACGCCAGCAAATGTGGTCTGCGGGTTGTTGAGTCCTTTACGGTTCGCAGTTGATTCTTCGCTACTTGTTGCACCTCAAACCTTGAAAAGCCATTTACTGAAACAAGGAAGCATAGAATACACAAACAGTAAAATGACGAAAGTCACCTGGTTTATATATAGATATATCAGCGAGGAGGGACGGCAGAGAATGCGAGTAGTACAGTTTCAGGCTTATTTTGCCTTCATTCAGCCAACCATAACCATGACCATCACCTGAGACCAGAAACACAAGAATGCGCACAGACGCACCTGGCGCAGTTGATCCACCACTGGGGGCTACCAGATAGGTCATAAGCACTTCATCGAACTGAAGTTCGTCAGTGACTCGTCACCTGGCGTTCTCTGTCTCTGCAGATCGGTTATTTATTCAATAAGGAATGGTCCCAGCTGCTGGTCAGGGTTATGCTTGGCTGAATGAAGGCAAAATAAGCCCGAAACAGTACTGTATCAACATACACGCATTCTCTGTCGTCCCTTCCCGCGAAGTATTGATACGAGCTAGACGGTGGGAGAAATGTGCAAGTCGCGAAAGTCTTACGCGTAAGCAGTTATCATTTCTACACAGATGTCGATACCGGACGGTTTTGCTGAATTCTGTCCAACTGAAACTTGTCATAAGATCTCAAGGATATCAAATTGCATCTCGTTATGGTCGGAGCATGCAGCGCGCATTCATAACTGATGCTCATTATCGACCTCAGAAATTCCGAACTTCTAAGTAGCAACATATGCAATCCTTCCTTCACACTTAATGGAGTCTAACTGAAACGATTGCCCATGTTTCTGACATCGAACGACAGATAAGAAGGACCATTTTAGAGTAGAAGTGGGTGTCAATTTCTCAGCAAGCTTGCTCAAATCAGAATTGTTCGACGAAGGTAGTAAATCTGTCATCAAGGACCCGTACAATAAACGAAGAGAATTTGCTTTCTAAAGGGATGAAATATAATCTTTCCAATGCGAACTACCTGGATTTTCTTGCAAACTTAGAGTCCATCATATCATCAGATAGTCTTACGGAGGATGAACGTTTCACAATTCGAAATAGCACTGAGTATGCCTTAAAGAACCAAAATTATCTTTCAGTTCTATCACACGAAGAAATAAAGGCATAAAAAACCTTAGAAATTGACGAAAGCATTATCATTCTCCCAGCAGATAAAGCAGATTCAACTACCATTTGAACAAAGAAGACTACAATGAAAACATTCTGCCATTGTTAGAGGATAGGTCAACTTATAAACCTCTTACCACAGATAATACCAAGGCATAAATTTCATCTATCGATAAGGTTCTGGAGCGTCTTACAGGGAAGAGGCAAATATCAGGAGATATTGCTAAACCCCTGAGACAAAATGAACCCACTATCACTAAGATTTGTGGGCTACCTAGATTTCACAAACTCTAAGTACCACTGCGATCTATAGTATAATTAATAGGTGCGCCCGATTATAAGATACCGAAATGGCTATTCCACAAACTCCATCCATTGACACAAGATTGTGAAACTTCAGTCGAGAATCCCATAGTTTATAGAAAAACTACTAGGGCTCACAATTACAGCTGATGAGATGATGGTATCCTTAGAGGTCATCTTTCTCTTCACATCCATATCGCTGCATTTAGCAAGACAATGAGAGAGGAACGCCACCAGCCCGATGGCACGGACGTCCCTGTACCTGCTTTGCTTAAACTCTTGGACCTTTGTCTGGAGACGAAATTCCCACTTGCACATAAATACAACCAACAGATGAAGGCAGCTCCCACGGGATCACCTATCTCCGGTTTTCTTGCTAAAACCATGATGCAAATATTGGAAGTGATGGCCCTACCGTTAGTTGATCCCAAATTATAGGTGCCTTATGCAGACGACACTTGTTTTCGTCAAAAGGAATCACCTGGAATTGCCCTACAATGTTATCAACTTAATGCTACCAAGAATCTCGTTTACGATCAAGGAGGAGGTTGACAGCAAACTCCCCTTTCTTGACGTCCTCGTACAGCGAATAACTGACGCGACATTTCACATATCAGCTTATTGCAAAGAAACTTCTGCGGACGGTGTTCTGCATTACAAGAGCAATCACCTTATTGCTTACCAACGGTGGGCTGTTACCAGCCTACTTAGTCGAGCAAAAACACGCTGCTCAGACGACAATAGTCACCAAGTAGAACTTAACTATTTGTTCTGACTCTTTTCCCAGAATGGATGCTCCAGATATTTTGTACGCCAATACAGGAGGCAACAGAAATTAAAAGAAAATGACAAGGAATTAGCTTGTTCCGAACTCGCTGAAAGAAACCCGAAGAAACATCAAATACAAGGGGCGGACCAACCGACGACCACACTACGCAACCAGCTCGTACACCCTAAGCATAGGGTTAGCTGTTTAGGTAGGAAGGAGGTCGTCTAAGAGATGCCACGTGATACATGCAGTGCAGTCTACTGTGGTCAAACTGCAAAGTTGACCTCTACGCGCATACGCGAACACCAACTGGCAGTCAGGAGGCGAGACCACTTGTCTCGAGTTGCCATGCATACACTGGAAAGGGGCCGTTAATTTGCTTGGGTCAAAACGCGCACTGTTGGTGTCTGTCCATCTTTAAAAGGCCGTGAATTTTTGGAGGCCATGTATTCCGATAAATCATGAATTAACAGGCACATTGAGCTAGACGCCGTTTACAATAATCTCAAGGAAAGCTGAAAGAGGCCATAGCCAATCAACGCGAGATGCCAACCGAGGCCATGAATCATTAGAAGGAATAAAAAGACAGGATAAAGAGCTCGTTGCTCAGTGGTTAGGGACGTCGGACTTCTAACCAGCAGGTCGCGGGATCGAGCCCCAGATGTTCCACACTTCTGCTTTGGGTGTGGCTGGCTGACGACGGCTAACAAGCCAGAAATGGCCATTCCAGTCCCCCTTATCTTTGTCGGCAATGCTATTCTGTACATATGTATGTGAATAACGGTGGTTTCATGCATTCCGAGGTAATATAGTAAAAGAAGAAGTCTCGTCGGAAAATCGAGATGTGCTCATGAATTTTTAAGTCAGTTACCCTAGCCCGCCGTCCGACAAAATGAACAGATGGAAGAGGGATAGGCGTTGATGGATTCAGTTATGGTTCACTGTCGGAGGAGGTGCGGAATCCGTTGTGCCTTACGGGCTGTCTCTCGAGCCCAACCAGCAGCCGCACAGCGGCGCATGATATAAGCAAAATGGTATTACCGATAAAGACAAGGGAAACTGGAATGGTCCTTTCTGGCTAATTAGCCGTCTTCAGCCAGTCAGTAGTATATTTAGGGTAATAGACAATGACCTTTATGACCCCATTGCAAATGGCGCATACAATATTAATGTTAATTGTGCATCTTGCAAAACTTTTGCCAGTAGCATATTTGTTTACGGGAAATGTTTTTACAGTGTGAAACTGCGAAAGGTGTGGCAGGCGGTCTTTTTTTCCATGTACATGCAGAATTATGTGCTATCAGCACAAAGTGCAGTGTGTAGTTTGCTGGTGAACATTTCATTAAACGTGCAGGGATGCGTTACATGGGGACAAAATCAGGAAATAAAATTTTGGCTGGCCGCAGATAGTCCTGCAGTGAGAGTCGTCGTTTCTCAAAGATCAAACGATCCAGCTGTCTTTTGAATGCAACCATTGTATCAGATGTCACTGTTTCACTTGTGAGTGAGTCCCACGGTCGAAAAGCACGCTGGCTGAAAGAAAACTTCCGATGGTGTAGGCGTGTACGCTCCCGCCTGACTTTGTTCGGATGACCGCGCAGGTGACTCATGGTCGTGAAGTCAAAGAAGTCTTCAAATCTGAGCGAACATTCATGTCCGTGGATAATGCAAAATGTTCATAACAGGTCATACCTCATTCGTCTATAGAATAGGGGGAACAAGTTTAGCTGGATCAGCCTTTCGGGTTACGGCATAGTCCTGAGACCGTCCACCAGTTTTGTGGCCCGTCCTTGCACGTGCTCTATGGCATCACTGTCTTTCTTCATTCAGGGCGTCCATGTTGGCATTCCGTATTCCAAATGCGGTCTGACGAACGTATCAAATATCTGAGAAGATTTCAGGAGGAAAGTCTGTGAAGGCACGCCTAATCCGGTACATGATGCTGGTTGCCTTTTGGACGGCTCTTTTGCAGTGCTCGGAGGGCAGCAAGTTTGGACCTGTTCAGATACCTAAGTCTTTGTGTGTGTCCACTTCTTCTAGTGGAACCCCATTTATGGTATAATCGTGTTTTGGGAAGCGCCTCCAACCAGATTCTAGGCGTAAAACTACACATTTGTCGCATTAAACGCTAGAAGCTACTTGCTGGACCATGCAGCCAACTTATCAACATCTTCATGTAGTTTCTGCGAGTCCTCAACACAGCTGATTGTTTTCCAGATCTTTATAGCATCTGCAAACATGATGGCATCGCATTCAAGATCTGCAGTACAGTCGTTTATATAGATGAGGTAGAGGAGAGGACCCAAGACTGAACCCTGCAGAACGCCGCTTCTTACTGGCACGCATTCGGATGCAGTAGTACCAACAATTACTCTTTGGGGCCTGCATGACAGTAAACTTTAATTTACTTAAAAGTGTTTCCCTGTATTCCACAATCCCAAATATTTTGTAAGAGTCGTCCGTGAGGAACGCTATCAAACGCCTTTTTAAAGTCAAAGAAAATGACTTCCACTTGACTGCCCTGGTCTATGGCTTTTGTCCATTTTTCCCGCGAGTAGACACTGCTCGTAAGACATGAATGACCGCGACGAAATCCGTGCCGAGCAGCACACGATAGGTCTCTCGGCTCCGGATACGCCATCAAATGCCCCTTAGTAAGTCGTTCCATGATCTTGCACAAAATGCAGGTTAAACCAATGGAACGGTAATTTTCGGACTCCAGCCTGGATCCTCCTCTGTAGATTGAAGAAATAAGGACCGTTTTCCATTCCTCCGGCAATTCGCCTTCTTCCATAAACTTCGGAAATATCATGGACACCGGCTCACACAGTACGTCAGCCAATTTTCGGAGGACAAGTGGAGGAATTCTATTTGGACCAGGTGATTTAGCAGGCTTCAGCCGGCCTAGTTCGGTCCTTGCTAACGTGGGCGAGAAGTAAAGATTGTCACCTAATGCAGGAGATGAAAGATGTTGTTGTTGGTCTGGGTAAGACATAGAAGGAGGATTTGTGTCACGTGTTGAGCGGCGGCTAAGTGTGTATCCGCCATAGACTCGCTCATGTTTGGATTCATGTTTAACCTGGGTTCGCGTTTGCCCATTCGTTCACTGAGCTGCGCCCGAAGGGCTTGATAGGCTGCGGGAAGAGCCACACAACGGTTGGTGGAAGTTTTGCCCATGTTGCAGGCCTCGATTGTTTGCCTGACTATGCAGACGTTTCCTCGGCCCAGAATTTCGGCATTCCGGAATGCGAACGTGTGTCCGGAACCGGCGCATTGTTCTGCCACCAGAGACAAATGGTCCATCCTTACTGCCCTCATGTGCTCTCAAACACTGGTCTGTAGTTGTTTGCCGGTCTCCCCGATGTGGTTAACTTCTCAGGAGTTACACTGAATCCGGTAGATGACGTTCATGGTTTCACCTCATGGCAGAGGGGCCTTAGGTCTCATGACCAAATGTCGAATTGTTGACTCCGGTCGGTGAGCGATGCCGATCCCCAGCGGCATTAAGAGGCTGGAGATCGCCTCAGAAACGCTGTCGATGTATGGAAGCGCCCGCCACATTTTTGGCCGTTCTCTCACCAAAAATCGGTTTTGTCTGGCCTGCCTGCCGCTTTCGATGACGTTGCGAGGATACCCGTTGACAATGAAGAGGCGCTGGATTTAGCGTAGTTCTGACCTGTCGTCCGGCTCGCTGCAGTGTGTTTCTGCCCTTCTATAGAGTGTTCGCACACAGCTGCGTTTGTGACAACGGGTGCTTACTGTGGTAACTCAGGATTTGGCCTTCCTATATGCAGCCGTTTCTAAATGCCCATTGGGTTTTCGATGGACGAGAACGTCCAGGAACGGCAGTTGGTTGTTGATTTCCGCCTCCATTGTGTATGGGATGTCAGGGAAAACAGAGTTGAGCGGCTACTTATGTATTATATGTGGTATGTGCCCTATGACACAGCGTTCCTTCTCGCCATTAGCAATTTGGCAGGCGGACAGAATGGGATCAAGTGAGATCCTAACCACAACAGTGAGGGTCACACGCCTACTTGACACGCTTATATACCTCACTTCATATGGCCTATGACGTACTGATCATCGGTAACGACCGTGAAAGAGCTGTCTGCGTCTGGCTGACTGATCTGCGATCGAGTGAGATCCTAACGACAACAGTGAGGGTCATCCGCCTACATGACATGCATATATGGTACCTGGTAGATGGGCGCTCACTGATCGGGTTATGGCACGTCCTCTTCTACCACGTCTGAGGACGACTTGGGGAACCGGTGTCGATAATTTGCGGAATTAAGTTTATTAAATTCCCCAAAGGGCTTATTGCTTTTTAATATGTCTGTAGTAAATAACTCAACTGGGGTTTTGCAGTAAGTCGCGGAAAGAGCAAACGTTTATATGAGCATAGACGTGTACTCGAGGTTCTCACGTGCGTGCTGTCACTTGGTGAATGCATTGTAAAAATATAAAGCTACTGAAAAGGTTTGGGTAGCGTATCTTTGTGATATTAATTGCAATGAAGTGCTTTGTTTATTCTTGACGGAGACACGGTCGCTGTGACAAGAGCTTCATTCGCCTGACGTTTCGGATTCCTGCTCGAACCCAGCATCAGAGACAAAGGCGGATACGGGTTGTTCATGCACAAGGGGCTGCAGTATTTATAGGATTCAGTCGCCATGCCACCGTGGCTCCCCCCCCTCACCAGGGGGTCGTTGCACTTGGTGTGATGATTGTATGATGGTCGATATTCGCACCGCTAATTGCTGCAATTTCATCACGTGTTTTCGATGTTGGTGTGATGATTGCTCAACCATCTGATCCACCGACCCTGGCGTTGGGAACAGTGTTCACCTGTGCGCCCCCCCCCCCGCGTGTCTAATTACTCTGCCTAGGCGAAGTCTCAGCATCAAATATGGAAGGGGAAGGTCGTTGCACCTGTTGAGGGACTGGAGACCAGTGAACCATGTTTATTCCTCGCGTACGCCTGCGCCCTAGCCAGTTTGCGTATTTTTCAGTGGTGATTTTAGATTACTTGCACATGTTGTATGATTCACCTTACTTAGCAGCGCAGGTACTAGCTAAAAGCAGATTTTCTCATGCTGCATAACACCCGCGGTGTCCGACTCATCAGCCGGCCCTCCAGCGTTACCCCTGTGCTTTATGGTAGATGCTCCAGTTCTGAAATTTCGGCTTTTTATCTCCTTAGAATTTATTGTACCTGTGCTGTCGGCATAGTGAATCATTCAACACTTGTATACTGCTGACTACGCGGTGGCACCCTTTGAATTATTACGCTGTTATCCCTCTGTGGCGGATTGGATTTCTTCTTAAGTATGCATATCAACTTTCGGGCCGTGTCTAACATTGGAAGAAGTATGACCTACAACACTTTGACGCCACCATACGTGTTGCGTCTGTGGATTCCTTTTCGGCCGTGTAGTAGTGGCCTTGTATTTTGCATCTGGAAATCTTTCAGCAGACGAAATTTTGCTAAGGAACTATGCTTCATCCTCACTGAACAAAATCTTCCTTCATCGCATGTTTGATATCCCTGAAGTTTAACTGGGCATTTTCTCTCCTTTTCTTAATGGCTTTGTTATCGTCCTGAATATTTCTCTCAAGGATCTTCTAGGCGTGTTCTTACTAAACAGCCACATCAGCGTTGTTGCATTATGCTCGTAAACATGCACGCATAGCCTGTCCTACAAAGACTCTCGCGGATTTGCCTATCAGCATAGCTTTAGCGCATGTCTGAGCTACTCAGATCGCTCCTGCCCGGTTTGGAATTTGGCCAAAACCGTTCCTGTGTTCGGACTCCCGTTAGCGCTCACCATCGGCCAACTTTGCATTTCCTCAACAAGGGCTGTCTTCCCAGCTGTCTCTGACTTCATGCTTTTGAGGACACTTTTATCCTGCATTCTATTAGCATTTTTATCCGTTAAAGGCCGTCTTTGGTTCAGCACCACCTATCAGATAATTTTTTTATTGTATGGAGAAGGGCTGCCGGAGAACGGATTCTTTAGTGACTGCACTTTTAAACAAGCCGCTGTCGATTTACCATTGTGATCATTCCCCAACGGCTTGGGACGACAGCTTGACCTTTTCTGTGTTGAAGAGCGAACCGTCCGAACAGGAATTTATCCAGCATAATATTATAATGCATTTAATTCAGTCTAGATCTGGTCTACCCCTCTGTTTATATAGCTCCCAGATTGTCTATGACTCATAAGTAGAGTTTTTTTTTACAGCTGTGCTGACATTCGCCATTACTGATTCGGTGTACTGCATTCCTTATCGACCGCCTTGCAAATGCTCATCCTGTACTGCATTTGGTTGGCGGCAGATTCCAGGTCCGAATTGAGATGGCTGCCACGCCAGTTGCGCAGACCAAGGGCATCAGGGCTGAAGGTGTGCTCAAGATCGGCTTTCACCGGATTCACCTACGTATTCAGTCGATCGTCTCGACTTCATCCTCTGCCAAATATGGGTTCAATGGAGCTCATCTGCAGGAGATTTTGGTTCATCTCGGCGTCTTCAGCTGCCCAGTCATCTCAACCGGTGAGTAGGCCGCTTATCGCTAAAGTTACCATAGGTTTAAACGTCGCAATCAGGCATTAAAGTCCCTACTCGGTTTTTACTTGCAGCGAAGTCCTTTCTAAAAACAATGTAGTTCGGTTCGACTGTACGTTGAAATTTCCATAGCTGTCTGATCATCTGGAATAGTATTGACTCAGCTTTCGCCGGGCCTCGGTATTTTTGGCGACCTTTTTTGATGTTTTCGCGCCGTTTCCCAAAATATCGACAGCCGTGGCAAAAAGTATGAATCAGCAACCATGTTCACTGCAAAAAAATCTCGCGAGTGGTATATACCCCTCATTAACCACATTCCATTATAGCTCTGTTATATTTAGACATTTTAACTACACTCTCCACTACTTTCATGTTTCTTAGATGCAAGAACATCATTTTCTTTGGAATTGATGACTTTGATAATTCTATTTTCCGTAAATTGGTCCAGTTTTATGCCAAAGAACTTTGTCATTGTGTTATCTTGGACAAATCGCGTGAAGAGCCTGTTTAAAAAATGGATTCGAACAGCCGTTACAGTCCTCATAAGACACTTTGGGTCTACACTTTTTAGAGTAGAAGCTGAATTTGGAGGAAAATATGTTATACTTTAAAAAGCCATATGAAAAGCCTTCGTTTTTATTCTAATAAAGTCGTTTTACCGCCTCGGCCGAAACGTTTCTCTCCACCTTTATCGCCCTATTTTACTTTCGGGTGCCTACTTCTGTTGGTCACACATTTCTTTCTTCCCGTAATGTGTAAAATAATAGTCGGGACTGGGACTGTCTATGTATGAAGTATGGCCCTCTACTCGCTCCCACCCTCTTCAGGCCCATTCTCTACCGTAAAGAAGGCCCGTAATCAGCATCACATACGAGACAGAGAGCCGTCTTTTTAATAACCGGTTCATGCAGGCACCAACGCTTTAATCCTGGGCTACTGTTTACGATCTGCTCTTCACGGTCAATTACGCGCTCAACACCGCGACAGAAACAGACATGCAACGGAGCGTAGACCTCTCCGCCTCCGGCTGCGCCAACTTTGGCCTGACCATCAACGCGAGCAAAACAGTGGTCATGCATCGACCGCCTCTGAACTTTGCATACAGTGTTCGTCGATTCTACGTCAACGACACCCAACTGAAAACCGTGGACAAATTGGCCTACTTAGGCAACCAATTCTCTGGTGGGATGCAGAACTCCGTATAGATTCGCCACGGTCTCCATCCTAATACCAAACTGAAGATATACAAAGCAGCCATCTTGACGACGCAGCCGAATGGATCTCAAACCTAAGTAGTCCACAAAGAATTAGCGCGGAAACTCAATCATTTCCACTTAAGCTCTCTCCGCCGGATACTAATTCTAAGGTGACAGGACAGGATCCTGGCACGGGAGCTTTGGAACAGGCAGGGATCCTCGGCATCATGAAGAAGAAGACACGATCGCCAGCATCCACTCCATGCTGAGCCAACTGTAATTGTGATGGAGCAGCAACCTTGTGAAGATGTACGATGGGTGACTACCACACGAACTCTTCTACGAGGATGTCGCTATGGGCACTCGCCAACAAGGGGGTCAGGCGCCCAACTACAAGAACACCTCAATGTATTTTTTTGAGCGCTTGCAGATCAACCCTAAGACTTACAAAGACCTCGCACAGGACCGATCTGCACACAAATAATCACCCAAGCGTTACTTGACCTGATGGGATGCCACACCCACGGCTGATTTAGGGACGCCGTTCAATTCCTCCGCTACCTTTTCTGTAGAAAAATCCAGAACGGAGCTTCGGCCTGGACATTTTTCTGCGTATTTTCATCGAGTAGACACGAAGTCTGGGCGAAAGGTGCCTCTGAGACATGTCTTCAAAACTCGGTTCATGTCCAAAGCCAGATATTTTCTTCTAAACCAGGATAGGATCACCTCTTTACTGCCTGTTACCCTGGAAATAGATTAAGGCACTTCAGTCTTTCCATGCGTAATTGATCTTTCAAGCCCTTCAACAGCTCTGATGCAGGGAGTTGTACATTTTCAAGGCATTTATGGTCTTTTGATAGTCAAAGCCGCCACGTTTGTACGCCATATTCAAGATGGTGACGAACAAGGGCTCTGTAAACTTCCCCAAAATGTCTTAGTCAAAGGTTATAAAAGCCACTTTAATCGCGTGGAGTACTCCCATGGCGTTTTTTGTAGCCTTGGTGCACTGCAGTGCTGGTCTCATGTTGCTTTGTATCCAAACATCAAGATCTTTCTCCGAAAATTCTGCGGGAAGAGTAATTTGATTCAGGTGGTGCACCATCATGCTGTGATTTAAATGACAGTTGGTTGGACGCAGATGAAGGACGACGCTCTTCTGCGCATTGAGATACAGAAGCCATTTCTCAGACTACGTTTGTAGTCTGTGCAGATTTTTTTGAAGGGTCCTTAATGACTTGCCAGGGCCTAACGTCGTTGAAGAACGCTGTTTTACCGCAGTCTAGTTCCTGAAGGTCCGAGAGCTGAGTCTTAAGGCACACCATTTGTCGCGTTCACCCAGTCAGAGACATCATCTCCGATACAGATACGCCGTTTTCAACTAACCACAAACGCTCCTAACCAGCTTTGAGAATTTTCCTCGATATCAGGGGCGCTTAATTTATGAAGATCTTGGTTTGGGACAGTATCTATGCATTTTTGGCGATTTACGTACACGACATCGACCTTGAAGCCCTCTTCTAAGGCTTTCATCCAGACCCCCAGACAATTAAGCAGATAGGACAGGTTGGCAGGTTTTCTCCGGGATCCTTACTGAAAAATCTGTATGCAGTTGTTTTATTCACAAAGTTGCTGTATAACACTCCGAATTAGAACTTCCAACGTTTCGCATGAGACGTAAGTCAAGCTTATGGCCTGGAGGTGTCTGCTGTTATACTGCTACCACCCTAATATAAGGGAGTGAGGTCGGCTGCCCTTCACTGCGAAAGCAGCTTTCCTATTCTTATCGACACGTCGAAGAGAGTTTAAAGAGGTTTCTCCAACTCCGTCGGCAATTTCTTAAGTATCAGTCTGGGAATCCCGTCGAATCCAGTAGATTTGTCTAGTTTAATTTGATTGAGAACACGTCCTACTCCTTCGACGGACGCTCTGTTTTCGAGACTGAGTAAAATCCGATTGTCCGGTATCGCGCGAGCATAAACAGAAATATCTTGTACGACAGGTGCCTGCAAACAAAGCAACGTTTGAGTTTTTCCTCTGCTGTGGGGTATGTCAGTACTCCAAGATAACTGACGAATATAAAGGCTGAACAGATATCTATCTTGATACAGTTGTGATGCTACTTATGGCAATTGCAATCATTTGGTGGCCTAGTTATAAATGAAATTTACAGCCCAATGGCAGTGACATCAAAAACACTGGTTAACGAGTCTCAGTGAATACCTGAGTTCGCTAGAGTGTCGGGTGCTGTACTGGCCATGGGAAGCGATGCCGTTCGGAAGCCAGTTTTCTGTTAGTCGTGTGTCACCCCCCTCTCTTCCATTTTCTGCTAGAAGTTCTTCAAAACACTCAGGGATACGTGACTCGTATTTTTGTATTTATCTATGTAGTGCATCTGCACCATTAGATTTTTTGTAGCTTTTGGAGAGGCCCTGTGCATTTTTGACTATATTCGGATTGAATGACCTACCGATCATTTTGTATTGCGGCACCTTGTACGCAGCTCTACAGTCTAATACCGGTCGCTGGTAAGTCCTTTTGTTCCTATATGACTATAACCGAATTCATGACTATAGTTAGCCGACCTTCCCCCGCCATGTTGACTTTCGTGGATCAATCTCCTCAGCTAAGAGCAATGTATAATTTTCCAAGCGCTCATTACCCTTGGCTTAGCCTGGCTGACTGTTTCTGTCAGTTATTTCGATCTTTCTAATCCGCAATCCCACTGTCCTGTTTCCTTCAGTAACTTGGGAAAATCACTCCTTAGGCATTTTTCTCAGAAACAATGCCAATTTGTATTCCTTAGCACTTTCAAACTGTATTTTATGGAGCGCTTTCACAACTCTTGGAAATGCTTCACTTCTCTTGATTAGGGCTCCAGCTTTTTGTGTTGTGCCTGCTATTGCGAGTATGGCGTGGACAAGACGATCTTTGTAACCATATTCTTAGTGGGGTCATTACCATCAAAAGTTAGAAGTTTCATTAAATCTTCTTGAATACTTTTTTTAGTTAAGATGCCATAGAATGTGTCCACTGTCTGTGTAGGCGTTACCACAGTTGGGTTTTCACCCGTTTGTTTAAATAGGCGACGGCACTGTCCCTGACCTTGACAACATCAGCGCCTTTTTCTAAGTGGTTTGCTTTTTCTGCGTGTGGTTAATTCTGCCGGGTCGTCTGAGTGAGCATATTCGTTGACCTTTGTCTATTTCCTTATAGTAATCAACTTTTCTTAAAAATTCCTGCTACGAAATTATTTACTATGGTGATATGATTTATATCATTTTAGTAACCATTTCGGCTGTACGCCACCGAAGAAACCAAGATTAGCCGATGGGCTCATTTGTTCAAATTCTCAATTTTATGAATAGTTTCTCTTTTCGTTCTGATTTTAATATACGTTGCATTTTGATTTTTTGGCTCATCTGATTTTCAAATAAGGTATGAGACAATGCCTTTCCGTCCAAATTTCACACCTTTTGTGACATCTTCCTGCCTACCCATATCCTCAGAAATGCTATTTAGATTGCGCTTCGTCCGAACCCATATTTAACCTATGTCAATTGGAGCTCTGATTTTGCATCCGACCTTTACGTGAGCGACATAATACCTTTATCGTGTAGGCTGCTAATAGAGGTATTTGGTCATTGTTGCATTATTAGTTTGTGAACTGTGTCCATTGGGACTCCCTACCTAACGCCTACATCAAGACTTATTAGTTACATCTTTTACGATTTTTATAGCTCTACGTCGTCCTTTTTTAACGAGCTTTTGTAGCTTTCAGCTGGGACCATTTTCAAAGTCGTAGTCCATTTTTTGGAAAGCATTGGACTTAGAATTTTGAGATTCGCCGTCTTTCGTTCCCTTACGTACTTTATTTTCGTGGGATTGTTCGATGAACCTTATTCGTGCTTTTAGGCATATGTATCGGTTCTTGTTTTCCTCTTTTTTGTCGGATTTTTATTTTAGATGATGAGGGCCCTTTTTGGACTCTACAAACTCTTCCTTATTTTGCGGGTAGTTGAGAAAATCAAGACCATTCTAGGCCTTACGTACACCAGTTATCTGTTTCACACTGCCTTAGGTTTTCTATCTTAACGATGGCGAATTTCGACAATCTGCTAGTTTGTTCGGTCTGCTGATAGATTCCCGCGAACGCCACTCCACTAGTAGTAATCTTAGTGGTTTATTGCTTTATTGTAGTCATTATTGTTGGACAACCATACGAATATAATGTGATTGTACCTACGTCTGCAGTAATATGCCCCATACACTGCTAGTGTCCTGTGTGTTTTGTATTCCTCAGTTCGGTTATCACTCACGCGACTTCGATAACTTACGGGGACACCCATGGTAACGGCGTGTATGACTATGTCGGAAAAACCCTACGGAGTATTTACCTGTTCTAACATCGGTAGGAGACGCTCACCGATCGTTCTTACGGAACTCACCCGTTCCGTTGTGCCTCACGGGCTCTCTGTCGAGCCCAACTAGCGGCCGCACAATGACGCATGTTTTAACATCCTCCCACCTTTTACATCACTGTACTTTGTAACATTTCGTACGTAATCTATTGTGCATATAGTAAACGAGCGTTGTTTACTGTTATCTCATGCCTTCCAGGACCATACCACCGTCGTGAGCAGTGCACACCATGCCGTTGTTAGAGGCAGGTTATGGAGACCTGCCTGCGAAATATGTCAATGGGCAGTCGTTCGAAAACATGTGCAAAGTATGGGACGTTCTATAAATTTCCTAACCAAATCCACCTTTGTTGCCACCCTGGCAGCAGTTTGCAAGCTATAGACCCTGTTTCTGGGTTGCAGAATGTTGCTGCTGCAACTTTTTCTTGAGAATTGCATAGAAGTGGTCTCGTTCCACGACGTTGCGTTATCAAACTGCTGTGTCTTGCTCGAGATTCTAATATAACAACACTACGACCCATGCGTGTGGTTTTGCGGTAATATCTGAAACAGGCCTAATTAATGTTTACTTTTACCGTCTGTTTTCATTCACGGAGTCATTCGCAATTGGAGTCACGCGATAGCCAGATAAAAGGTGCCGAAATCTTTGAGTGACTGATTTAACCTGTGTTGGTGCTGTCGCAGATCGTGACTTTCCACACGTAACGATCTGCTACGGCGGACCAAGACATCTTGGCCTTTCCTCCAGCGTCGGAGGCGGGATGTCGAGGACTTCCTACTCGATACCTTCATGTGATTATTGGCGTCGGATCGAGGGCAGCAACACTGAGCTCGCAGGACAGACTACAAGAAGCGTGCCCAAACATTTTAGTCGGCTTTCTTGGATAGCCCGAGGTATTTCAGACATGTCGATGTAAGGAGTGCGGACTGTCTAATCCTAGACGAATCTATTAAATTTCGCTCGAAATATGGCTTTTAAGCGCCTCTAGTTGTTGTCTTTCTTTTCGAACCAATGGCCATTCATAACCGTACGTCTTTATAGCGATAAGACTATCGTGAACGACCCGTATGCGCTTAGTGATGCTAGCTGACATGCTACAAGCAGCCTCAATTGGGGAGACAGTGTTGTCCGTACTCTGTTAATTTGCCGGCAAATCCACTCCGAAGCATTTCAGACTGTCTAATACTGTTGGTTGACATCCATTTATATTAAGAACTTTCTTCCAGTCAGAAGCGCAGTTGGAAAATACTTTGATCTTTGCATCGGTGATGGGTAAATATACATATTTGGAGTCCTCACTCACCTCCGACACTTCATTTTGTAGGTTGCCGTAACCTCGCGCAAGCAGAGTGATTTTGTCAGTCTAATCAAGATCAATCAACCGTCGCTCTACTGTAAATTTTACACCATAAAACAACGTTGTGCCACGTTGGGTGTCCTGTCAGTGTCATAATTTATGTGAATTAGCGTGGGATACGCCCTCGTCGGGTGCCGAACAGGTTGAGAGAGATTACCACAAACCAAAATTCGCGCATCGATGGAGAATTAATAGGCCTGGATTACAGTATTACTTTTATTAGAACTCTTTAGCTTTTGCACTCACGACGAACGGGACAGAACGCTCCGGTGATGTCAACAACGCAGGTGGCCGTCGGTTGTAAGTAGTCATAGTAGCGTTCTATGATGCGCCGCCGTATAAATACTTGGCCAGTCAACCGCAGGCTTGGGCGACAAAGGACTTAAATTCGCACCGTTTCGCTTTCTGAAGGTGACAAACGAGTTGGGATTGGCCGGCCCATTATACCCTGACTTTTCGGTAATAACAGGCCGTCCGACTGCACTGTCTGAAAGCATAGCGTTTTTCTTTACAATGAACGTTTTTCCAAGTTCTGACATTATTATGACAGGTACGTCGAATGACCATTTTCAGGACATTCTTTTTCTGTTAGGTAGTCCTCCCGCAACCAATTCCTACTTGTATGGCCGATGATCGCAAATTGACTCTGACCAATCTTCATGACTCTGAGGTCTCCAGTAGGCTCACTTTAAACTGCGGCGATGATAAACTTCTGACCTCATCTGCCCAACAAAAATGTGATAAAGAACTTTAATTAGGTTATCACTCGTTCCTCTCTTAGCACCTATCCGCGCAGTTAAAAGCCGCTTTCCCAATGGTCCATTTCTGCAATATTGATCGTTACTTCGTTCATATTTTAGTCATTATGGACGTGACGAAGTTCCTGAAAATAACTTAGTGCAGTTAAAATTTCTTGGATGTAGTTTACATGTTTCAAAGCATAATCGAGGGAAGACAATTCGACTAATTCTGGTCTTATACAAACACCCGGGATTTGAGCATTCGCTTTTACTACTACAAACTGCCTTGGATTAGCCTTTACCCCTTCCCTTGGCGAAATGTTGGCAGTGACTGGGGCTCAGTGTAGTCTATTTCATGGTGACTTCTCTTATCAGTCATTACACTCAACCTTATCTTCAGCCGGTTTAACTCGCGCAGACCACTATAAGGTGGAATTCTGAGGAGAATGTGAGGTCGGTCAAATTCTGATCTACTACCTATCTGGCTCACTGTAAACTACCAAGAACACTTTGAAGCTACCAACGCTTGTGGCTGCGAAGGTTGCCAACTAACTGGATAACTAAGACCTACTGAGGGCCAAGGATCAGGCCGTATTATCCCCTTTATGATGGGATCTTTATGGCTTCTCTTACCTACGTGAAGCCCGAGACTCTTGTCTTCACAACGACCGCCAAGTGTAGATTCAGTTGCAGGTTAAATGCACTGACTAGCCATGTTAGCCATTGCGTTCATACTCACCTCCAGTCTTTTTTGACTTTGTTGGGACGTTGCGGATGTAAGGCGAAGAGAGAGCTAGGCAACGCGTAAGTCTACCTGCCTCCAAAAGTATTCTCGTTCGCCAGTCGCGACTGCGCTCAGACCTCGTTACAGCCAAACCACTGTGCGTGTGTGTGGGACGTACGGGGTGTCTTCGGCACGACTCGCGTCACTGCGGTGCTATCACTCCGAGTTCATCGATACGTTTGGAGAATTTGTTCACAATAATTTTCCGAGGGTTCCTATTAAACTCATGAATCAGCCTCACCTGGGGCTCCGCTGTGCTCTTCTCCATGCAGCGGCTGCACCCCCGATAGACATTCTTAACCACTGAGTTACACCAGATCAGGTTTGTGCCACGCCAAGTGGCAATTCCTTTATTGATTCCAGTTCCCCTCACCCACCAAAAGTCACACGGGGAAGACCCATAGACAACATTCGCCTAAGGCGCAACCTGCCGTGCAATTCGGCAGTCGCCCAGGGTGAATAAGCCGCCCTTGTTATGACAGCGCGGCTTAGCCCGCGCCAGGGGAGCAGTATAGAAAATAGGCGCTTGAATTGCCGACAGCCAGTCAGTTGTCAAGCCGACCGTGGCCTGTGGATGGTAAGCATGCTGCGGAAACGCAAACCACTGTCTCGACCCACGTGCCTTTCCCGCCCGCCCGAGTTGCTCAACTCGGAAAGCCTTTCCACAGTTCTCTCACCCTTGGCTTGGTTTGGACGTCAGCAAAATCACCCTTTTTCAACTTATCAACGCGAAAATCTCCCGTTGTCCTCTATAACTCGATTCCACTTTTCGTTGTCGGTCTTCTGAGTTTCGCGGTAGAACGGCTAATCAAATTTGGGCAGATTTATGAACCTAGACAGCCTGTGCTGTCAGGCTGAAGAACTCCTACTGGCCTTAGGACGATTTTATGTAGATGGACTTTGAAATCAGTCGATTAAGAGCTTATCCCTGGGAACAAACTTGAAAAGCTTGAATTTTTGACTGTCGTTCAAATGTGTCCTAGTTGTACTTTATGCCCGGCAGATTAAAAATAGGGGTATTACTTGCGAGGATGTGACCACTTATGAATCCCTGCCGTCAGACTAGGATCTCGATCCAGATTCGGTTGGTTCTTTTAGAGAGACGCCATTTTGTGCCAGCCACCTATTGACTCGCGAGAGCTGTCAGTCGAGTACTTGGTTCAACGCCTTAATAATAGGGCATAAGAGCATCATTGGGACGCCTCCAAAAGTGTGAAGGTCTCCGAGTTAACTTTACTCTGCAACGGGACGTGGCAAACATAATTCACATTACAAGTTAACAAAAATCGGTCCTGTCGGATGTAATTAGCCACTACTCAAAGCCCGACTATTTTGCAGCGGAAACTAACAGTCTTCCCCAGTTGGCTTAGATGGCGGGTCTGCATCATCCATCTAATGCGGCAGGACTCTTAAGGTCTGTCTGATAACCGTCTGGAAAGGAACTGCTGGTACCCTAGACAGGCAGCCGGACATTCTAACTGAACTCAGACTAGTAAGTATTTCAAGTGAAAATGCCGAAGAGGACGGGTAGAGGTGACATAGTTTGTGGGCGAAGGCAAATTAACCAAAAACGGCTTCCTACGTGCTTGAACCATCCAGTCTGCGAATCGGAGGGTCGACCTCGCAGTCCCCAACCAAAACGCTTGGGTGCCCGTGCTTAGGTTTTTTCTTTTACGACATCGGATGTGAAGACCACACATTCTTACGGCAGAACAACGACAGCTTTATTCTCCTCCGGGTTGGACACAGGAATGTCGACCGTCCCCAATACCACAGATGGCCTCGCGCCAAATTCAAGGGAGGCTTTATTCCCTTGTACTAACTTTAACCCTAACACTAACACTCAGACTAACTCTCATAATCATAACCCTAATCCTAACACGGACTCTAACTTTAACCAACCCCCTGGGATTTAGGACAAGTCCACTGGTAATGCGGCGGGTCGCTCTTCCCATATCCAGCCTTCCTGCGTCAATAGCCGACATATTCAAGCGATGTAGCAATTCATGCTCATCAGATTGCAGCCAGCAGTGTTAGCTGAGATTGCTCTATTCAAATGCACAGCGCAAAGCAGGGCTGCATAAAATCATCCAGTCTTACATCGAGTCAGTTTTAAATGTGACTGGCCAGTATGCCGTAAGTTTGATTGACGCAAGCCGATTCACATAAAACTCCCCGCTGAGATAGTCAAGTGTTTAGGTTCTTTAGTTTCGTCTGAAATCAGTGTATGAACTTACAGTTAAGTGCTAGGATACGGATTTGAGAGTTCGGGCATTAGTTTCGATGTGAACATTCCAGTTGCACGCCTGAATACTCGAGTAGTGTTTACGTCGGCCAGACTGTCAGTAAATGGTGTAACCGGGAGAAGGTGAGACTGCAGTAGACATTAGTTGCCTGCTTGTTATCCTCCGTCAGTCATTATTTAATGTCAGGTGAAGACTTGAGATTAGAAGTGGTCATTCCAGTCGATAGTGCCTCTTGCTGGTTGATTTCTCTTTACCGCGCGACCACTCTTGTGGACTAGACCGAGAGCCTCGAGGCAGGACGGAGAACCAGCATGCCCATTTTCATCGAAAAGTACAAGCCAGTGAACGCAGGTCTCAGAAGGAAGGGGTGCAACCAATGCGCATCTGCGTGGACGATGAGGGCCACGCTATGCAGCTGCTGTCCGTTATTGTGCCTGCGGCCATCACTGCTCTTGTCTCTATTTCTTACCTAAAAAGCCGCCTTGTTTCCTCATCGGTCCATCTTCTGTTCGGTTACTTGAGTTTAAACCCGACCCCATTGCCATAATTCCAACCCAAGAAGGCGAGTCGGTACTCCAGCTGTAGTGTTTTGTCTCCTTCATCACCTCTTGTCTATGCACTTCACAGGTCCCCGGTCACTTTGAAGACTTTACAACCTACCTGGACCGTCAAAAATGATCGAACTCTCTACCTCGTGGGAGCTTCAGGGTCGAAGAAAGTTGTCAGACATACTCGCCATTCGCGAAGTGCATTTGGACGAGCTGGAGTTGCGGGGAATGTAAGTTCACTCCTTTAGGTTTTAACACTTTGCGCCTCATTGGCTATTTGACTAGCGCATGTTACTACCTCGCCTTCCGCTCTGTGCTTAGTGGGTGTCCCATAGCCTGCGACACTTCCAGGGAGTTCACCTCATCGGCGATCATTCTGCAACCCTTCCTGCACCCCGAGTTCCCTTCCTCGGGCGCCTGTTGCATTCTCATTCGCCTCTCCACCCACCGTCGCCTTCGTATCGTCCAACTAGTTGTCGTCTCCTCGTCACCGCATGTCGACCTGGTGGACCGGTATGGAGAACCCCTGGCCCACGTGGAGGGTGTCTGCGCCTGTCCGGGCCCTACCTGCTCTGTGTCCACTCAACTGGCCAGCACATCTGACGGGGAACCCCTCTTCCGCTGCTGCTCCGGTCGTCTGTCTCCGCACATTGAGTGCGTTGTGCGGGTAGGTTGAGACCTTTTTTGTTCAGAATGACAAGAGTTACAATTTTCAAACCCTGTCTCAGCCTGAGCTGGCTCATTTTCTCTTGTGTTGCATTTTCGCATCTTATTACCTTTCCCAAATCTTTAATATCTTGTCATTTTGTGGCCACTTCTAAATTAGCTCTGACTTCGCCAAATGAACAGATTATACGGGATGGCCCGGTTTTGTAAGGGTACTGTAATGTCAAAAGAAAAGGAGGCGTTCACCGGGAGAGGTGTATTTGAGGTCTGGCGTTTCGGGTAGTCGTTTTTTCTACCCATCTTCAGAGACTGAGCAGTCATACACACAGCCCACCAATGCTGCCTGTGGGGCTGCATCCGACCCTCATGTCACCGTGACCTGAATCCCGCCCATCTTCGTCGGCCGCGGCGATAATTGACGATCCCGATTGTCCCGCGCCGTGACTGTGCCCCATCAAAAATGTCCGTAAAACCAGATAAGGGGGAGGCAAATTGATGTGGCGGTTGACAGAACAGTCGGTAGACATCCAGGCTTTTTGCACCTGCCTTGCCGTATGATCTGTAATGGTACTGTAATGGCCCCTGTGTTAGTCAATTTAGCCAAAATCCTCTGGCAAACGTCCGCAGATCCACTACTTCACCTCGTCTTCCTCTGTGTTCAGCTCGATAGGCTTTCCGCCTTTTCACTCATGTCGACCTCAATGGGACTGCAGGGAAAAGCCGGGCGCTTGTATGGCAATAGGGGACACGTCTAGAACTAGAATAACATGTCTACATGTATGAGGCCGGGCGGAGTTAACCCGCCGACTTCTAAATTTCGCGCCAGAAGCGTCACTGACGGCGACGGTCAGCGGTACAAACAACCCATATCCCATTGTCTTTGGCTCAGAAGACAAGCCTAAGGCAATCTGAGCCACTGTTGTGGTTTGGTGAGTTCCCCTGTTTCTCACAATCTGCCAGTAGAACGTTTCGAATCGGCAGAATTACAGATTTTCCAGCTTGTCTTTTGAAACCCCCTCCCCCCCTATAGACTCACACATGCTAGTGCATCCTACCAACTGCAGTAGTTTTCTGAAATGCTTTTCACCAAAGGAATTTACCAAGGAAGGGACGGAATAGTGGAAGGAAATGAAGAAAAAGAGAAGGGAGGAAGAAAGGTGTGTACTACCTGCCCCTGGGCTTTCTGGACGACCGTCAGCTACGCTAACATTCTAGACTCCACTGTTGCTGCTCAGTAACGTTTTAAGTTCAGACACTGCTTGCGTCATGTTTTTCTTGGCTCCAAAATTACGACAATTTTGCGGGTTGAAAATTCACATTCTAACAACAGATGAGTTGACATGAACTTAGGAAATTGAGGACCCCACTTTTTTGCTCTCTCTCTTTCTGTAACTGAGGTCTTTTCAGCAAGCTTGCCCGAGGCTGTCATACAGACTTTAAACTAATCATTGATGCCTTTCAATTGCACTCGTCATCGCCTGTCTGTTGCATCTTTGCTTTCCACCCTTTGTCTATCTTTCTTTTTCTGACCCGTTTTCACTGTCAATTTTTACCTCGTCTTCACAACGCGTAGTGACATGCAGTGTGATAGGTTAACTCAAACGGTCACGAGCATCGTCACGTTACTTTTCGAAGTTCAGCGCGCTAGTCCAGATCCGCTGGAACATGACGTTTTCATTGATGACGGACTATCAGCTAAAGTCTTAAAGAGCTACAATGGTTCGGCACTTTTCAGCGTTTTGCTCCTACTACTCTGTTCCGTAAAACAACGTCATTTTCCCCTTAACAGTTAAGAATAATAAAAGCATCGACAAAGAGATAAAAATTCCGCAATTAAAGCGCTATGAAACTCACCGCAGGGATCTTTACAAACATCCTCCTAACTTCCTTCCGCCCTTGTAGGCAATGTGGACCAAAAAAACCCAAGACGGTTTTCTTTCTGGTAGAGGCTGCACCAATCAAATAAACGGCCCTCAACAAATGGCATTTAGTGACTCGAGTAACGATCCGTGACTCGCCTACGACAAGATCGTGTACTCGCTAGTCACCGTCGCCTACGCAATAGGTGCGGATCTTACCACTGACATCTACGTCTATAAGGGTGGGCAAGTAGGACAGAGCTTCCTTGTCTCGAAGTTGTTCGGAACTCCGCTTCGAAAGTAGACGTACTCTCGACCGTAACTGCTCTCAAAACTGAGTACGGAGAAATCCAACATACCGTTTAACGACATCGAGACAGAGGAAGTGTCTCCTTGTCTGGGTACTGAGATGCTCAATTGGATCTCCTGCTATGTCTGCAGCGGTTCATTTGAAGCCACGCATAACGCCATTTTATTCTGTGGCTACGAAGACTGGCATCGTCGGGCTGTTGATTTTTGGAAATTAGTGCTATCCTGTGGTTGCGACGTCTGTAGATTACTTCGGTTGAGGCTGATGAACGCAAACTCGGATGTGAAACTTCATCGTCGCAGTAAAAAGTTGCTCTCTGCATCATTTTCCGGATCCCCCCCCCTTTCCAATTGCCGGGCGGCCGCGTTGAATAATTAAAGAAGTGTTGGGCGCATTTACATCGGAACCCTAAAAGAGAGCATTACTCACCCGTCTTCGGTACACAGTGGTGGAAAGGGATCTCAACATTGACTGCCAAGGCCTATGCAGTTCATCGGAAGTAATTACCTTCACTGATTCGCAGTAGTAGGAACGGGTGGATCACTTCTGACGATAGCTGAGTAAGAGAGGACTTAAAAAACCTCGACATCCTTAGGTGATGTTACGGCCGCTGAAAATGGCTGCCTTTTCGCATTCTGAACCTAGAAATCCCGTTCGGAGGAAAAAACTAAAGTGTGCATTCCACCGGGACGAGGGGTGGGAATTGGCATTCAACTAGATGCCCGACGTTTAGTGCGGAGCCTACGCATAGCTTATATATTTTGTTTTATCGCAATTCCCATTTGCGAAGCTCCTGCTTACTCTCTCCAGCTTTAGTCACTTCATTTTCCCGATGGCGAGAAATACTACTTCGAAAATCGTTCCCCTTCTTCTGAAAGAGAGTCTTCTCCTACGGAGTCTAGTTATCTGTTCTACCTGCTAGCTCAACTTTAGGTCGGATCTTATTTCTTAGTCGTACCTGCCGTAGACAAGCCCCAGCCGCCTGTCATACGGGACCAGTGGCAACAGGGGGTTTAACCCTACCCCCTAACACTAACGCCTCACTCCTAACCCTGACCCTGAAATTATTCCTTAACCCCTAGCAAGTACGACTGCGAAATAAGATCTTCCCCAACTTCAAAAATGGACACGCATTCTTCAGGAAATTTTGTAGATTAATGTCTTGCGATTTTTTCCGATTGCAGGAAGGCGGTTTTTTGAGAACTTAAGAGCAAAGCGATATACGCTTAATTACTTCCGCTTTGTGATTTTGTGTTTATGGATTTTGTCTTAAGGTCGCGTCCCTAAACGACCTGAAATCCCAGGAATTTTGTCTGAGAAATTCACCGACATTACTGTCTAAGTTCTACTTATTTATTTATTTTATTTTTTTGGAAACGTTTTTCTTTTTGTTTTGCCTAATCTTCCTCGACTTGCTTCTTGTGCTTATGAAGTAGAATGTCGAAGCCGTCTATGAATACCATAAAAGCAAGACCCTTTTGAAGTGTCCGTTAATTGGCTGCCGGTACAAGCTAGTAGTTTGGAATGCACCCTTTATGACTTCTGGATAGTACACCCAACCTTTCCCAGTGAACGGCTAAAATTTCTCCTTTTAATCACCTATGGAGCAATTAAATTCCAGAATTGCTCTTTCCGGCGTGACGGTTGTACTCTCTGTTTCAATTACTGGCGTCCCACTGTACGAGCAAGTTCACTATCACATATAGATTGCTTTGATGTCTTGATTGTTGTGACAGTGAGGCGCACGTCACGTCCTTGTAGTGGGGTGCCGCTTCGGCTTACTCTACCATTCCCAAATGACCACTTATTCTAGCACTGGGTCCGTCGCTTTGTCGCCGGTCGGAAAATGCACAAAGCAAAAGTCACAGATTTTTTTGATCTTTGCGATCTGACACTTGATGGATGGATGCTATGTAAATGCCATAGCCTCTGACACTGTGGGTGCGCTAAACCAACACAGGACCTAATTGGCTCGCGGCATGCATTAATCGAACTTCACGGAGTCCGCTCGAGCCCATACCTACCGCCGT